CTCCCCCCCTACACACACACACACACACACACACACACACACACACACACACACACACACTTGCTCTGTATTCCCTTACAAGTCATCCCGATTCTTGGCCTGGATATTGAGACAAAGCCAGACTTTCTTCAAAGAATCGCCTCATTTCCATCTGCTGAGATGCCATGTTCCCCTTCCCCTTCCCAGAGAAAGCACTCTCTCCCCTCACTCCCCGTCCCATCACCACAGTCCCCTCAAGGAAGCAACCTTGTCACTCCATGCCCTGGGGTCTTCTCTAGCTTCCGTCACATTCAGCATAGGGTATGTATTTCTTAGATGGAAATGAGTCCTTCATGAGGTGCCCCAACTTAGTGGTCAGCCCCCACCATCACACACATGGCCTGCCTTCCTCTGCTGCTCGCACACATGGTCCCTGGACCTAACCCGCCTCCTGACATGCCTCTGCTTTTCCACAGGCTGTTCCCTTGCCTTCTCCACTTTGTCCCCATCAACGCCGCTTCAACGTTCAGAAATCAATTCGAATGTCAACTCCACTGAGAAGTCTTTCCTGACCCTGCTTCCCTCACTCACCTCCCCACCCCCAATCCAGTGCCAGGTGCCTCACCCATGACCTCTACAAAATCTAAGAGCATTTGCCAGCTCAGCTCTGTCCCTCTGGATTGAGAGGTCCTTGCAAGCAAGGACTGGGTTTTTCTGTCGTTTTGTTCCAGTACCTTGCCTACTTTCATCGTTTCCAGGGGATAGCAAGCACTCGGAAATGTGTCCAGCAGTCTTACCCCTGAGAACAATCCCAGCATATGTAAGGCATGTACAAGAATGTTTGCAGCACCATGACTTTTATTAGTCCCCAAATAACCATTAGTCCCTGGAAATAACCCAAATGCCTGTTAACTGGAGAGCGGGTACGTAAATCATGGCATTTTAAATCAATCAATCCTATGCAACTATGGGAAGGAAGGAATAAATGCTATGAATGGATTTCACAGACCTAATGTTGCGTGAAAGCCATGACGGAGGCGGGAGTCACCTGTGGTGGGAGCAATCAGGAGAGGAGTTACCCCTGAAGGCACAGGGTACCTGATGGGGCCTCGGGGACCCCAGGAATGCTCCGGGCACTGGCCACGTGAACATGCTCACACTACGGAAACTCGCCCAGCTGTAGATTTATGGTTTGTGTACGGATCTGTATCTCAAACTTGAATAAAGGTTTTAATTGAGCCCAGTTTCCTTTGTGGAACACTTTCTCGTGGCGTTTGGACAGGGGCAGACATGGTGAGTGTGGGTGTGCCTGCTTCCTGGGTGCCCTCCCCCACCCTCACAGCAGTGTCACAAGGCAGAAAGGAGAATTTGTAAAAAGTCAAAAAACTCTCGCTGTATAGAGTTTAGCATTTGCTTTAAGAAACACGCTGCAGGTGCTAATTTGGGTGGTTTGACTTCTCCACTTTAATTTCAGCAAATCACTGCAACTGAATGTCCCTCTTTGCACGGTGGCTTCAGCCTCCTGCTCCTAAGGCTTTCATCGCCAACAGGCATGAGCCTATTGGCCGGGGCACGCCAGCCAAACCTTCCTTCTACTCCGCTGATTCCCATGTCACTGCTGCAGTTTAAAATTGGGGTTTTTCTTCTTGGCACCAGGATTGTGCTTACTAGTAATTATCTAAATTAACGTCTTTCAGCTGCTGAGGGGGGGCGGGTATTCCCCCCTCCAAATTTAAAGGGTCCAGAAACACCAGACTATGGGGTGTTTTTAATAATAGATTTTTCTCTCTAAACAAACAGAGCAATGTGGACACGGAGCCTGGCGGCCCTGGGCTGAAACGGCTGCAGCCTCACCCTGGAGCCCGCCCAGCGCTGCAGGAATCACCAGCTCCGCTCCCACGTTCCCTGACAGAGGCCTTGCAGTGTCTGCACAGATGGGGATTCTGCTGCCACCCTCTCTGTTCACATTTCCTGCACGTTTCTTCCTAAGCATTTGCCCGAAATAGAACCGTGGGTTGGGAGTCGGTGTGGGAATTTAGGGGGGGTGGCAGGGGTTCGGGTAGCTCCCTGTAATTACCACCCAGAGGTAATTCTATTGGCTACCAGGTGGGGAGATTTGGAGGGTGCTCAGCTGTCTCTCCAGGACCAGCACTGGAGTTTCTTCCCGGGGGTGGCTGGGGAGGGCCCACCATGAGGCGGGGCGTTAGTGCCGACCCCGTGCGCAGTGACACAGGCAGGAGCCCCCACCAGCCTTGCCACCAACTTGCCCCATCACCAGGCCTCTGTGCTTTGAGGTCTCTCTTGGCAGGATACTCCCCTCCTCTCTGCCTTTCCTATTGGGTTCCTAAAGGCCACTGTCCCTGCTTCTCTTTGCAAAGTTGAATTATCTCCATCCTTCAGGGTCTAGCTCAGATCCCGCCTCCTTTGTGAAGCCCTCCTGGATGACTTCAGCTAGAGGTGATTTCCCCCAGGGCTGGGTTTTTACAGCCCCTGGTGACTGGACGGTCTAGAGCAGTGATGGCGAACCTATGACACGCGTGCCAGAGGTGACACGCGAACTCATTTTTTTGGTTGATTTTTCTTTGTTAAATGGCATTTAAATATATAAAATAAAT